GACACGTGCGGTTCTTTTGGTTTACGAAGGAAGCCGCTATCACTTTCTGTTAAGCGCAACGCAGGCCGCGTTTATCTTGTATGCCACTCTGGAACGCGTCACGACGCGTGTATAAAAGCCGGCGCAGTGCGCCACTGGGGAGTCTTTTTTCCGTCGGCCGACGACTGTTCACGCCGCTGTTGCTGTGAGTTGTGCTTGGCCCTGTTTTGCTGGGCACAAGTTCGCCCAATAAACAGTTCGCCTGACACCGCCCTGACTCCTGCGTGCTTCCTCTCAAGTGCTGCGTGTATCACAACCTCGTGACAATATACAGAGGCATGCGCAAAAGCAAAGGCTCACATCGATCGGATAACAACTTAATCAAAACCTACGATCCGAGAAGGTGCTCCCTGCCTGCAAAAAGAAAAAAAAAAGAGTTTCAGTAATGAGTAATGAACCCCAAGCTTTTATCTGAAAAGCTTCCAACAGTTCTGGAGCAGTGGTGTCTCTAGCCTCCCGCAGATTCTCAATTTTTTTCAGATACGGGTTTTACTCGTGTAAATTGGAGTAAATTGAACAAAACACGGTCTGTGTCGTCGTCCCGTGCACCGTAAACGAAGTGATAGCGTATACATTCAGTTCATCGCACTACTAAATCTGCTCATTGCATCAGTTACAAACAGGTGGGGCGGTAACTCGTAGTTACCTACATCCTATCGACCATACCCATTGTGAGGACTGTGGCAACCCTGAGACAAGTGAACATATCTTGAGCGTCTGCTTCGCGATATATCACGCAAAGAGGTTCGATGGCCGCCCTCTTGCTGTAAGGCACGAAGCACCAGGTTTCTGAAAAAGTTCTGCTGGGACCACCACCTCAGCATAAGCGTGGTATTCTAAAGGCGCTGAACAAGGTTTTGTGCAGAACTCGACAATAGACAATAAATAATTGAAGGCTTTGCTTCATCGCCACCTTCCTTATCATCATAAACACCACCTTCTCCCTCTCTATTTACTTTTCCACCCCCTCTCTTTTTGAAACGCTCAGTAGTAGTCCAGAAAATAGATTCAGGCTCACCTCAACACTATCCTCCTGTAATAAACATTTCCCTCGCTCTCCCTTGTTATGTCACGCAATAGCTCTCAAGCATTGTGTAAAATAGTACTGTTGGAGAAATTGCTACGGATGACCCGTACAGAGGTCGTCTTAGAAACTGAATTAAACTATATCATTGTGCAGACACGCTAACTTGGCTTTTCTGACGGCTTGACCTGGTCTTTGAGGCGTCGCATTTTGCCAGTGTGTGATCGCGAGAAATCCATGCTCCACAATTTTTTACCGTGTTCCTCTAGCAAGGCAAAGCAAGCGCATTGTTAAAACAAAATAGGAGAAACCTTTGGCATAAGAAAAGGCTATTTTTCGGGAGACCATCCACTAGTACGCCATGTTACAGCATGCGATCGCCCAAAATACGACAAACGAAAGCTAAACTGCTCAGCTGCATAAACTCGATCAAAAACACACTCGTATAGTAACGGTTTTAGAGCGTTCGTTCTTCCGCGGGGTGTCATCTAGTCATGAGAAATCGTTCTCAATAAAGATACACACACAAGACAAAAGGCACCCTATCAAGATTTTAGAGCACGGCCTGTTTAGATATTTGCGCGTAAGTATGTATATGGTAAAAAAGATCGACGTTTTAATTACGTCAAAGTACAGCACCAGCTGCACTTGAGAGCGGTATTTTTGATTCGTTAGTAGTTGTTGTCCATCTTGAAAGCCGTGGACTTCGAAGGCTGGAAAAGCTCTTTGGTTGACTTCTGGGAGCACAGCACAGCCACATTTTCAAAAATTCGAACCAACGAACAGTATGAAGCCACGTATCGCTACAAAGCTGTTCATTTAGCAGTTTGGTGGGTAGGAATGTACTATCAAAGGTGCACCTCACTTTTTCTCAGTTTGAATCTGTTTTATATTCAAATGTTTATAGAGAATCGATGGCCAGTGTAGCAAAAAAACTGAAATGTGGGTGACCTAGTAATTGTATTGTAGTTGCTGCGATTGCACCCCTTGTTTTGAGAGCACAAACATTTTGCAAACAGAGAGACAACAGATTATGAGAGAAATATTACAGACGCTCCAATTAAGATATATGGGTGATAAATGTGTCAGCTTTCTGTGTATCACACAATGAATTGGCCTTCGCGCTTAGCTCATTTCATTAAGGCTCGTGACACTGCTTTTTTATACGTTAAAGTGTCAGTATGCTAGTGGAGCATGGAGTTTAGATATGCCCGTGTATATTTGCCACCAAGTTTACTTATGACGACGATGTATGTGTGCGTCGTTTGCACCTCCTCTTCGTGCCTGTCTACTGCTGCGAAGTAGTAGTCCACCGATCTATGAACCCATGCGCGGTAATATCAAAGCGAAAGCTTTTGATGCCTTCATCAAACGGAATATTTGACTGTTAGTGGTGACCGTCCCACTGCATCGGAGACGAGTGATTCAAAAAGTCACCGCACGATGAGGTCATCATGTGAGATAACAGATGGCGAAAATGGTGACATCATTGTGACATCATATATTAAGGTTTGACGTCATGCCATACCATGCCATTTTATCGCCATCCTTTGAGTGGCAAACAAAACAAGAGAAAGTGTGACCTCGAGAGAAGAAAATCAAAACGGTCCTTGGCAGTGGCACGTGAAGCCAGTCCTCGTGTTTCCTGCTCCATTTTAAACATCGACAGATACAAAAAAGAACGAAATAGGTTGCTTTTCCTTTTATCTGAGTTGGATGCACAAGAAACTCTATGATTGTCTTTTTAATTTTTTACGGTAATTGTTGGCCACGCGGTAACAAACGATGTCGCTAAACGCTCCATTGAACCTGAAGCCTCTTAAAGGGAGAATGCAGCATCCAGTTGCGTCAACTCCCTTTGCGACCACTACAGAAACTTCATTACTACGGTGCTCTCTGCGCAATGACTTTGACGCATGCAGGCTCTGACGAACAAAAAAACGCCAATGACAAGCGACTAACGCTGGCCTCTTTGATTGTGTTTCAGTTTCCTACGTAGTTTTTCCATCTTTTAAACATAAAGTTACGTTACAGTGAATGATGCGGTGTAAGCTTTTCAACATGTTATTGCTCTTATGTCTCCAAGCCTTTTTTATTCATTTGTCTTTCTGGTGATTTAAGGCAGTGCTTAGTCACTACTAATTTTAGTGGCCTAAAATTATAATAGCTAAATACCAAACCGGAAGGCTGTTACTAGAGAAACAGAAAGGGCTGTGTCGGCAAAATGATTTATAAAAATATTTAAAGGGAAATGAAAAACTATGCCTTGCCTGCCGCACCGGAATATTGCAAGCTACCGAACAAAATTGAACAATGAATATGCCAAGGAATTAAACAATGAAAATTAACATGACAGTCCTGAAATGGAAATTTCGAAATTATAAAAAGGGGTACCACCACTTGCCATGAACAACATCCAGCAGAATCTGCGAATAGAGGCCCGACAGGCCTATTGCAGCATTACTACAAGGGGCACTGCTCTGTTTCCATAAATATGACATCGGACAATGCGCTATTTAATCTTAATGGCCAGTGGTATCTCCACATTGAAGTGAAAACGGGGAATGTTCATTGAGGAATTGCTCAAGCAGTGTAAATTAAATATCTACCTTTTATAGAAAAGGAAGGTTCCGCCACTGAAGCAAGCAATACTTTACCAAAGGTGTCGAAATTTTTTCTAAGATGGGGAATAAAAAAGTGAAGTGCGGAACTCGTGAATCTGTAACTGCATAAATACTCGTATCGGAGTTCAGTAAACTGCAACTGTTATGATGTTTGCCGAATAGTCAGAAGGTACATATCAGTTCCCAATTTGCATGGAGCATTTACGATGACTAACTGGACAGGATAGTAAGAGTGCTGTGTCGAAAAACAATCATCAATCTCCAGTGACATATCACACACTAATGTTGCTGCTGTTTTATAGCTAATCGTGCACATGTCTGTTTGCATGCCGCATGTTTGTTTAAACCAATCCACTGCCATACAATGTGAGTTTCTGTCTGTCTAAAAATTTGCGCTTACAGTAGTCCCTTTATTTTTTTTTTGTAGAAAAATTGCGATTCTGCAGTAACTGTGCCTTTAATGGTTCCAGCTGTACGATGTTCAAGGTAACACTGTTACTTTCCTCGAGGGCAAACGCAAAAGTGGCAGTTTTTTATACCTTGTTTCATATAGATGTCTCTAAGAAACCTTCCAACCAGTAAAACCCAGTAGGTTGATGCGGTCGCTGCATAGCAATAGTATTTGAGTCAATCTTTACCATATCTGAGAGTTTTATTGAGGTAACGCGTGGGGATGACGACAAAAAAAAACAGTAAACAATAACCCTTTATATAAAGCTAGCGCTTGCTGTGAGCAAAGCTAATGCGCAGTCTATAAACGCTTCGGTGTCACTCAATAGCGTCTAGCGTTACGAATGTCCGGACAGCCTTTATTTCGAGAGGCTTAATTGAACGTATCTTCGTGTTTTGGGTAAAGTGAAATCAAGCAGCCGAGTGATATCCATAACCTATAGAAATCAATAAATTCGCAATAAATCTTCATTTATATTGAGAATGAATCAAGTTATCATTCATATTCTAACGAAAAAAAAAACCATCTCTTATTTACACTTGCTTCTTTCAATATCCTTTTCGAAGAAGAACGTGGCGAGTTGGTGTTGAAACTTCTTCAAAAACAATCCTCATGTTGTTTTTAATGAACTATTTATGCAAATAAACGCAGCCAAATCACAGTACATACATCGGCTCATGAGCAACCTTACCTGCGATTCACAGGAGGAACGTAAACATAAACAAGGACACCGCGAACACACGAGACGACGCACTACAAATGTTGCTTCTTCCCAACATGAGTTTCTCTTCAAGTGCGCTCTATTCCTCTGTGCCATATCAACTACACTCAGGAATTCATATTGTTACACAGTTTGCCTTACCTGTGACTCGAAGTCTTCCAGGCTCCTCCAATCCAATGTTTTTCAGAACCGCAACGCAGAACTGAGGAAAAACGCTTGGTGTAACGCGAGAGGCTCCGTCTCTTCCGACTTCCAAGAAGAGTTGGTTTCCTTTCGGCACGCAGTGAACAACAATCACACCCCGCTCGCTTCTAGCAGACTTAGTGGACCAGGACTTCTTGGCCCTGTGGTTTCTCTGCTGCCACGCCACGGCTTTCCTCAATTGCGACCTTCGTCAGATAAGCAAAGAATACTCGACCGGCCGGAAAGACAATGGTGCACGACGACGACGTCGACCAGCAGGACACGGCTGGTTGATCACGCTTCTTTCACCGGTTCCGTAGTTCAAGGAGTGACTCGTGCTTCGCCCGCGTCCGTGACCTCGACTATGCCGCTGCGGTGTCCACCTAGAAACACCTTGCCGCCGCGCTAGCGTTTTGAATCTCGTGTTGTGATGCAAGAAAGCATGCGAGCGTGATGGGCCGTTGTTCACACTGAACAAAATAGAAAGAATGCAAACTGATAGACCTTGAGGAAAATAAGAATAAAATTGGAGAAGCTGACGTACATTAGAATGCTTCATGAACACCCTAGGGGCCCAGCTGACGTGTGTTTTTGAAGTATCTATACACATACATGCATACTTTTTTCCCTATTCTTTCGCACGATGTGGTGGGACACTGTGCGGCTTGGCAAACTGGGCGGCTAGACAAACATCGCCGGGCTTTATTAAAGCAAAAAGTACTTTTTGCAAATCTGGGGAAGGGTATATATTTGGCCTTGTTGATGTAACATGTTTATAGAGCTGAGCGCCGCACGGAAATGAGAAGAAGAGAACAAAACGAAGCGCTTGTGTGTGAGCTTTCCCGACCGCGTCATTTGAACTAGTGGCCAGTACTGCATCTAATTACATTGAAAACATGTATACATCTCTGATTTTCTTATGTACTCAATTAAAACGCCCCTAGCTTGAGTTGTAATTATAAATTTGTAATTTAGTATACACTGGACTAAATAGGTCAGGACACATTTAAAGCGTTACCATTCTTGTTTTTTTTTTGCGAAATCTCTCCCAATTCGCTGCACGAAACACTAGGTATAAAGATTGCGTTGCTGAAAACGCTGCGGCCGCATTTTCGATGCAGGCGAAAGTGTTCGAGGCCCGTGTGCTTACATTTAGGCGCACGTTACAGTATTCAGATGATCAAAATTTCCGGAGCCTTCGTCGTCTCTCATAATTCTGTGGTGGTTTTGGGACGTTCAACGCTAACAACTATTTTATACTGGAAGGTTGTTTAAACAGTGTATTAGAACGTTCTGAGAAAATTTGTATTAGGAACGGTTCCCTTACCAAGTGCACGCTGAATGGTAGTTCTTGAAACCTAAACAAGACAAGGTATCACGAGAAGTAGAAGTTGTAAAGCCATGTTGAAGGCCGAAATCTGATGGAAATAAAAAAAATATGCGCAACAAAGAGAGTTATGATGAGACCACTGAAATATATTTCTTGCGCAAATCAGCCAGTCGGTTCATTCCCGTAGTCAACACGTTCATGACAAGGTCACTCGTAGTACCCAAACTTTTACCGAATAAGTTGTCGCAAAGGTCGATTATTTGGTACGTAGGGTTTAACGTCCCAAACCCACCATATGATTATGAGAGACGCCGTAACTGAAGCGCACTACGGCCCGTGTGCAATCTGAGCACACGCGCATACAGCATGTCTCCTTCCGTGGGAAATGCAGGTGCCGCACCTGGGCTTCGATCCTGTGACCTGTGGATCAGCAGCCGAGTACCATAGGCAGTAGACCACCACGGTGGGTCTTGTCACAGAGGTCATGCCAACGAATATGAACTGAAACGCAAACAAGGTTATTTGTAGCAAAGTGGAGAGCCGAGCGAGTGTACCGATTCATAACAACCTAAATATAGCGCGAAAAAAAAAACAGGGATCAAAAGGGTACACCAGAAGTGCTTACTCAGACCTGAAAGCTTTATTGCTTTAACCGAAATCGTATAACACTTAAACAGATGCCCAACAAAATACCGCGCATGCGCATCGTGGGCGAAATTAAAGGCACTAATACAAACTAAGAACGCACCTCTTGCAACCCCTTTCCACCGGTCTACCCCCTTTTCATGAGTAGCGCGACTTCCTTTTCCGATAAGGCCAAAAAGGCGTGCTCACGCACACGGGAGCCCTCGCGTCAATGTGGTAGCACTCGACAAGTTCTCGTGTCGTGCGATTGTGGGGTCTAAACAATACCTTTGTGGCGGTGAATCGCGCTTCACACTGGCACTCAGCGCAGTGCATGGCCAGGTGCGTTAGGGGTCCTGCCTGCAAGGAAGACTGATGCTTCCTAAGACGAATGTTTAAAGATCGGCCTGTCTGGCCCACGTAGACAAGACCACACGACAGAGGGATGCATTAGACGACGTTGGCCTAACACGACACGAATCTAACCTTATGGGTTATGGAGGAACCGCGCGTCCCTACTCTGTCAAGCTTGTCGCCGACCATTGCACATAGTCTACCTAGTTTGTTATTAGCAGAAGAAACGACCTTCGAGCCAAACTGCTGCGTGGTTCTCTTAAGCCGACGTGAAAGCGCGTGAACATATGGCGTAACATCCATTTTATCATTTTGAGCTGTGTTGTGACTGGTGTGCATCGATACCTTTTATCTGTTTTTCAAGGCGCAGGCAGGTGGTACGTATCACCAAGACAGGAAAGGCTACGTTTTTCAGACGATCCACCTGCTCTTGAAAGGTGTGCAAAGTGAAATGCGTGCAATATCTGTTTACAGCGGACTTAAGACACGAAAAAGCAACGCCATTCTTCACCAGCTCAGAGTGGAAGGAACGGTACCTCAAGAGCGGTTTAGTCAACCGGGGTGCGTACATCCAGATGACGCGCTGTGGAGAAAAGGGATAAGTTGAGAAATTTCAAGGTGTTGTCCACTTGTGGTGTATTCTTTTAAGCGCTTGGGTTGTACCCTTTCTTGTCCATGTTTTTTGTGCTTCATTTACGTTGTTATGTAAAGTTATTTGTTTTACATTCAATATTAGCTGTGGCTCACGTGGTATGTTTTTGAACAGGAAGAAAAGATATCATGATTCAAAAAGACTTTATTGTAGTGTCAGCCAGCTTCCCTTGAACATTCACCCCATTGAGCAAGCTTTCCTTGCAGCTAATGTGACACATTCACTTTTCTCGTGATGAATACTCGAGTGGGAGCATGCTCTATTTCATAGCAAGTTTATTGTTTCCAGCGTTTTTAACTGCGTCGATATTTGCGTGTATCATATATATTACATGGAATGATTAAAATATTGTGGTATTTTGTTCATTGCTGTCGATGTGTGAGAAGATGTTCTTACTCGGGTGACGATTTGGTGTTCTAACAACTGTTGGGTGACGAGTAGGCGTGTATTCTGAGAATAAACTTAGTTTGAAGCAAACATTCACCTCGCGTGTTCGTTCCTCACTTTTGTCTTCGTATTTTGCGCTACCTGCTCACAAATCCATTCTTACGAACTCGCCAAAATTCAGTTCTCCGATGTTTCTTCCTCGGTGAGTTGACTCACTTTGTGGGTGTGTCATCATCATCATCATCATCATCATCCCTACGTCCACTGCTGGACAAAGGCCTCTTCCATGTTCCGCCTGTAAACTCGGTCCTGTGCTTGCTGCTGCCAATTTATACCCGCAAACTTCTTATTCTCATCTGCCAATCTAACCTTCTGTCTCCCCCTAACCCACTTGCCACCTCAAGGAATCCAGTCAGTTACCCTTAATGACCAGCGGTTATCCTGTCTACGTACTACTCCATTTTTTCTTCTTGATTTCAACTAGAATCTTCTTAAACTGGTTTGTTCCCTAATCCACTCTGCTCTCTCCTTGTCTCTTAAGGTTACACCTACCACTTTTCTTTCCATCGCTCGCTGCGTCGTCCTCAATTTAAGCTGAACCCTCTTTGTAAGTCTCCAGGTTTCTGCTCCGTAGCTAAGTATCGGCAAGACACAGCCGTTGTATACCTTCCTCTTGAGGGATAGTGGCAATCTCCCTGTCATAATTTCAGAGTGCTTGTCAAATGTGCTCCACCCCATTCTCATTCTTCTAGTTACTTCAATCTCGTGGTTCGGCTCAGCGGTTATTACCTGCCCTAAGTAGACATAGTCTTTTAGAACTTTAATGTGCACTATTACCTATCTCGAAGCGCTGCTCCTTTGCGAGGTTGTTGTACATTACTTTCGTTTTCTGCAGACTAATTTTAAGACCCACCTTTCTGCACTCCTTGTCTAACTCCGTAATCATGAGTTGCAATTCGTCCCCTGAGTTACTCAGCAATGCAATGTCATCGGCGAAGCGCAGGTTACTAAGGTACTCTCCATTAACACTTATGCCTAACTGTTCCCTTTCTAGGCCTCTGAAAACCTACTGTAAGCACGCGGTAAATAGCATTGGGGAGATGGTATCCTCCTGCCTTACACCCTTCTTGATTGGTATTCTGTTGCTTTTTTTATGAAGCACTATTGTATCAGTTGATCACTTGGGCGTCTGGTGGCGTCAAAATGAGCATAGAGGACGCTCGAGTACAACGTCAAATGTCGTTCAGAAGCTTCTAGAGCAAAGCAAGTTTTTTGGTGTCATCGACATAACTTGTTGTGCTGTCAACATGTAAGCAAACGGCAGCTACGATAGCGTGGCATCCCCTTATTATGCTAAATATCGGCGCACCTGGATGACAAGAAAGGCAGTGGCCTGTCTGTGTATTTTGTAAGCGCCTTCTGCAGCAGGTGGCAGGTGGTCGTCCTCTGATGACTTCAGTGGCTTTAGTGCCAGATTCATTTTTTGCCGTTTTGCTTGAGTGAGGCAGCTATAAGAGCCGTTACCCCTACGGAATACTAATACCTCCGGAGCCGGAGGTCTTCTAACCATATTTTCTTATTTTTTATTGAAAACCTACTGCTAACCAGAATTCGGTCTTAGCCGGAGGCGCACTCATAGTACACTAAAAAAGAAATACAATACCAAATACCTATAAAGTGAGTACATGGAGTGCGTAAATTTTTACACTCAACTTAGTAAAGGCACTCAGACCGCGTACTATAAAAAAATGCAGTACTGTAGTTACAAGAGAAGTAAGTAAAATGAAGTAAAACATACAAAATGGAAACACAACGCCTAACGCGTGTCTTATGGTAACTGAAAAAGGGGCATTCATTATATGCCGAGAAATCCACTCCC